GAAGGGGTTTTTTTTTTTTTTTTTTTTTTTTTTTTAAGGCAGGAAGGAAAAAGGAAAGGGAAGCATGGAGATGATTAAAACCTTTGGAAATAGAGCAGATAGCAATGGCCTGAGGCTACATTGAAGTAATCCAAATTGCTAAGGAAAGACTTAGAAAACTGCATACCCATGAATTATAAGCTGGAGAGAAGGAGAGCAGAGATTTTCTGGTGAGGTATGGCATCAGGGTGATGCAGTAATGCTCACAAAATAAGGTGGGGCATTTGTGGATTCACTTTTGGACTGTTTTCATTGGGAAAGTGATTATTGATCCAGAAGCCAATATAATGTGGAGATACCAAGAAGTCTGAATATTAAGGAAACTGAAGTCATCCTATTTGGTTCCACATCACTGTTTTCTTCCCTCCATCAGCAGGACCAGAACCAGTTCAGGTCAGGCCCAGCCTGGCAGCATGGTTGGTAACAAACTGAACAGCAGTGCTGGAAACCACATGGCTGACCATAGGTTTGGATACTGGATTAGATTCCTGGTTCAGCCTGAGGTCCTGGGCATGCATGTGCATGTCCAAGTCCAAGATCCTGATTAGCTGGAGGGCTAGGGAAAAAGGGATGTGCTTGATGAGACCCTATGAAGGGTGACTTACTTTCTTCTGTGTGTACACACATGTGTACATAGTCTCTATTGTGGATAAAATGAACTTTTTAATAAACACACGCACTCCAGAGCTGTCATGTTCAGGGCACACTGGGGACTGAGGTAATTATCAATGCCATTCCCAGCCTGGGCTCCTGTTCTCACCCGAAGGCAAGCTCCCTTCCGTGTCCTCTCATGCACAGGGTAGATGTTTTTCATCCTGGTGTCAGGTGAAGAAAGCTATTTAGGACTCAAACTCATCTCCATGAAAGAGACAGTGTCAAAATGGCTTCCAAGGGCTTCCTTATGCAAGTAGATTTTTATTCCTCAAAAGCACTCTTCCTCAATGAAAATCAGTGGCGTTTTCATTTGTGTTCATAGCACTTTGAGTATTTAGTAGATTATACAGTGTATATTTAAAAGCAATAAAACATGTTCTTTATTTCTATTTCTTGGGATATGAGTAATAAGGGATTTTTTTTCTTGCTCAAGGAACTCATGAAGAAATTAATAGAAATGCCATGATATTGTTGTTCCATTTTTCTTATTAAATTTTAAGAGCTTATGACATTAAAAATATTAACCCTTTGACTTTTTTGTTGCAAATGTTTTTTCCTGTTTTTTTGTATGCTTTTCTGTTTTTGTGATTGATCAGTCTTTTTATCTGTAATTTCATTTGCTACTATTTCAAAAGGACTTTTTGACCCATAATTTTATTTAACATGTACACACACACACACACATATATTTATATTTTTCTAGTGCTTTCATGATTAAGTTTTTTTTACCTCTGTTTATCTGTTGGGTCATCGGAAAAGTCATGACTTACTCTTTTTCCATGCAAAAAATATATCATGACTTTTCCAACGACCCAATATATAATCCAATTTACTTTTTTTAAACAGGTTGTTATCTAGTTATCCCAATACATTTCTTAAATGATTTTTTCCTGTTTTCACATGCCACTTTGATGCATCTTTGGGTTGTTTATGGCCTTTTAATTCTGTCCTATTAATTGTCCACCTCTAATACACCCAGAACTACATATGTTAATGTTTTCACCCTAATATGCCATCCTATTGTGAGCCTCTGTTTACTGAACTTATCTGCTATTGTTCACTATTGATGTTGTGTATAATTATTTATTTTTTATAGATAACTATGTCTTTATTCAATCAGTGGCTTTCTACATGTATCTTAGACTATACTGCTGTCTGTATCTTTAGAAATGACATTACTGAGCCAAAGAGTGTAAGCATTTCGAAAGCTCATAATGTAGTTTGCTAGTTACTTTTCAAAAAAAATTCGCATCTACCCAGATTCTCCCAAAGTGTTGGGAGCAACCCTCTTTTGCTACTCTCTCATCAGCTGTAAGGATCATAATTAAAACACACACACACACACACACACACACACACACACACACACAACTTTGCTAATTTATCAGATGAAAGATGCTATCTCATTAATTACATTTCTTTTGAGTATGGCTTATTGCATAGGTCTAGTCTCTTGCCTATTAAGTTAGCAGTGCTCAATTATCCTGTAATAGCAGTTGGATGTGTTACAGTTATAGGGATAGGCTCTTAAGTCAAGCCACTGTTATCTCTGAACCTGAAAAGGCCTTCCTTCCCTTAGATTTAAGCCATGCAGTTCTTTAGCACTACCATTTAAAAAAATTGTTTTATTTAAATTTATTTATTTATTTTAATTTAAGCAGAGAGGGACAGAGTGAAAGAGAGAGAGAGAGAGAGAGAGAGAGAGAGAAAGTGAGAAAGCAAGCCAAGTCTGGGACTCAAACTTTGGTCGGCCATGTGGGAGATCCAGCGTCCTTAACCACCGTGCCATACTTTGGCCCCACCACCATTTTTGGAGAGATTTTCACTATAGGGCGTGTGCACTCGCCAGACAGACAGAGAGAGACATAGAGACAGAAAGCGAGAAATCACCCACCAGGGGGGATGGTCACACCACAATCCTTTCTCCTCCATTCCCCTCTCGGGATCTTGGGCATGCACACACACGTGCCCTGCGTGAGTTTTAAGCCACCGGGTCTGGGACACGAACCGTGGTCGACTACGTGGGAGTCCAGTGACATAGCCATTACGTTAACTGCTGGTTCCCACCACCATTGATTTTTTAAAACACTAGAAACCATTTACTTCATTCAAATGTATGGCCACCATCAAATCTCTGTATATTGGGTCATCAGAAAAGTCATGATACATTTTTGCATAGAAAAATAAGGAAAAATACTTAATGATTTTTCCAACAACCTAATAGTTCTAGGAATTAGACTGTAACAATCTGACCTCTCAGCCAAATTGCATGAATGATACTGTCCAGTTTCTCATCATACTTCAGAATGCAGAGTACCCTAAAATTCAAAATAAATGGAAAAACAGGAGATTAGCAGAAAATGGAATCTACATACACAAATAAATAAAGCCAAAACGCTTATAAGAATAATTTAAGTATCACATCAGAAACGCCCACTTGGCTTAGAATATAGCTGGTATGGTGACTGGTCACTGCTAGAACTCCTGAGGCATGAGCATAATTTAGAGTTACCCGTAGCAACATAGACTTGAGGTCCTCTGGCCAGAGTGTTCTATACTCAGACTCTGGAACTCTCAGTCTTTATTCCTTGCTTGCTATAATCCAGGCCAGGGGAATGAGATTACTGGGTCTTTGGAGATTATGAGTCTTAGAGGTGTATGTAGTGCTTAGTAACAGATTTAAACAGGAACTTCTCGTCTTCTCTCCAATGCCAGGGTCAAGTCGTTAGTACTTTTCGTTATGTAATACTCCATTATACTTGGGATTCTGTTAGTTTTTTCAGACAGTGTGAAATTTTCTAATAATGTAACTTGGAATTAAAGAGCTATTTAATCTCTGCTAGGCTCTTTGAAGCTCTGTTTTGGGATCTTTTTTCCTGTATAAATTGAGAAGTAACAATGGGGACCATGATAAAATACTGCAAAGACAGTGGTCCTTTATAGATCCCATTATTTCTCAGAATACTACACAATAACCTGGTGCTAGGGATGGGACTGTGGGATCTCGATCAGAAGCCAGGTCAGTGAAAGAAAAATGTACTGGAGTGTAATCATACAAAATAATACAAAAGCAGCTATTGGTAGCTCGGAAGGCACATTTTTAGTGGTGGTTTAGGAAGTGTGCTTTGTTTTCCTCTACTGTTGGTTACCCATGGACATTCAAGCCATGGTATTGCTGATATTATACAATGGTATTTTATAGTCAGTGAGATAATGGAAATAAGGTTGCTTTGGCTTGGAGCAAGGAGGCATATGGTGGCACTGCGTGTGTTAGGCAACATTGCTTTGGTCAAAAGACCAAGCCAGGGCCACATAGAATGAATGTAACCTGTATTCAATTGGCCATTATTTTGAAAAGCAGATGGCACATAAAGAAGAAAAATAAGAAGCCTGTTATTCTTCCCTTTGTATTCACATTAATTAGAAATCGTATCCTTATTGAGAGTGCCATATGAGACCATAACAAAAAAAAACCTTGCACTATGTGAGTATGAATGTTTGTGTATATGTGTGTATTGATTTTCTTTGCAGCCAAAGAAAGATCCAACATCCAAATGTGATGTCTTGTTTTACAGCAACAAAGAGTAAGCACTCTAGGCTATGAAGTGATTCTGGAAGCTGTCCAGTACAGTGATAGAGAAAACTGGACATTAGGAGAAGGGGAAAAAAAAAATCTTTCAATTTGGCAAAATGAGATCCATACTCTTTCAAGCTCTTAAAAGGCAGGTAGTACAAACCTTTTAAAAAGACACTTGGCAATACCCATGAACAGCCTTAAAAGTGCACACTTCTGAAAAAGTCTTAAATCAAGGGACCAGCTGTTGGTGTAATGGCTATGTCGCTGGACTCCCATGTAGTCAACCGCGTTTCAAGTCCTGGGCCCGGTGGCTTAAACTCACGCCGGGCGCATGTGCGTGCGTGCCCAAGATCCTGAGAGGAGAATGGAGGAGAAGGGATAGCGGCGTGACCATCCCCCCTGGGCGGCGATTTCTCGCTTTCTGTCTCTATGTCTCTCTCTCTCTTTCTGGCGAGTGCACGTGCCCTATAGCAAAAACCTCTCCAAAAAAAAAAAAGGTCTTAAATCAATTGTAAATGTGCACACATTTCATTGATACATATGTTCATTGTGTTGCATGGGAAAAATTGCCCTGTCATTGGTCCTTTAGGGTAAGTAAACAGTGACTATTTTGATACTATGGAAAAAGCTCTAATACATAATATGATATAGCTGAGTAAAATGAAAAAGAACACCTGTGACTAAGAAATAACCACCAGAGTGTTTTTTTAAGTAAAAAAATCAAATTTTAAATATAATAATTGAGGCAGCTATTTTTAAATTCTGAGAAATTATTACAATTCATGTGATATTTTACTGTTACAGATTTGTAAAGTGACAAAACAGGGTGGCGAATTGCTTGTCCAGGGTTAAAGTCAACATTTGCTTTTCTCTCACACCTGTGCCAGTATCTTTCAGTCAAGATTTATGTGAAGACAGTGTGAAATGCTTATCCATATCTCTGAGGAGTATTATACCTTATTATCATATCGCAGAATTTTAAAAGATAATAATGTCACACTGAGCCCAAAAATACACTATGCCAAGGAGAAATGTACACCCAGAGGCCCAAAGTAAATCATGACCCATTCTGCTTCATCCTTCAATTGCACGTCATTGTAGGTTGGGTCCCCAGTGCTTCTATTGTCAGTGTATTCTGTGTCTTGATATACAAACTTACTTAAATGACTATATGCCAGGAGATACATAAATCTGAAAAGCAAAAACAGGGAAGATCTTAATGAAAAGCTATAAAGCAATAAATGGTAGATTTGGAGAATATAAATAATAAAAAAACTGGAATAAGTATTGTGCAAAGTGAAATTGTTAGGTTAAAAAAAAATAACACTAAAACAAAACAACAACAAAAAAACCTTCACAACCATGACAGTTTTCTTGTAATTAATGCAAAGCCAACAGCATTTAGACACATCCCTGTTATACCGCCAAGAGTAAACATTAGTATTTTAGCGAGGTTCCTAAAATCACCACCAAATTGAAAACATCGCCCCAGCCATATAAACATAGCAGTTTTGATATAGGTGAAAGATAAAATGCAGAAATCGTTGAATATTTGAATTCTGAATTTCCTCCTTGCCTCTTTCCTTCTCTCTCATTAGGAAAATAAACATGATAAGGTTTGCAAAGATAAATGTAACTCACTTTATTACTTATCTAATCACCATGTAGGATGAGACGAGGGTGTTAATAACCTTAGCAAATAATAAAACTCTGTTTAAAATGGTCTGTACTTAAAATTGCATTAAAAGGGGACCTGGAAAATGATGATTTAGGTCTTAAATCTCTTAAGACTTAAGGCAGGATTTTTTAAAGTACCAGGAATAAAAAATGCTGAAAACATAAAATTCTGTATCAAGTTAATTATTTTCCATATCATATCTTAATGAGTGGATGGTGTAATTACAAGAGTTTGAAAGTCACAGAGAGAAAGCTGTAAAGTGGACTAATCACATTCAACTGACAAATGATTCAGGATGGGAGAACGTTCAACTCTAAATGTAGAATTTAATGATCTGCAAGGTCCCAAAGTCCAAAGAAACTAATGAGCTAGCATGGCTATTATTAGTTTTCATATGCCATGGTTCTTATCCTATTATGTAGAATGTTTTGAGCATTTGTGAACTCGGTACTTTTTGAGGTAAAATAGAGAAAAACTTCAGGTGACCAGTACCCAAAGTTCTGCAGTTGACTTTGAAAGAAAATTAAATACGACAAACAAATGAATCTACCTCCTGAATTAAAGAAACAGATCGAAACCATAACAGCTTCTGGAATGTGTCATGACTTCAGTATGCTTTCAGTTTAGTCTGTCCATGGTCCATGTTGACATCTCTGTGTGCTCAGAACAGATCTTCCTGATTTGGGTCTAGAGCCATGTATGACAATCATCGAGGAAAGACAAACTATTCCATACACTCCACTTGGAAATGAGCATGGACTCATTATTGCAGAGACAAGGTAGAATTTTTGAAAAAAAATTGTAGAGAATTTTTTTGCTATGGGGTGTGTGAGCTTACTGGAGACACAGAGAGAAAGTGAGAAATTACCCTCTAGGGGCATAGCCATACCACAGTCCCTTCTTTTACATTCTCCTCTTGGGATGTTGAGCAAACACACCCACATGCCCAGCATGAGTTTCAAGCCGCTGGGTCCAGGACTTGAACCATGGTCAGCCATGTGGGTGTCCAGCACCTTAACCACTAAGCCATCTGCTGGCCCTGACAAGGTAGGATGTTTTGGTTAAACTGAAGCTTAATTGGGAAATCTGATTAGTCCTGATCTTTCTCTTACTCTGTCATGGCTCTGTCTCTCTCTTTGTTTTGCAGACACTTTCATCTGGAGTCTTGGGGTAAGAGTGGGTGGGTAGAGTCCATACTTTCAGTACCATCATCCCTCAAATTTGGATTGAGCATGAGCCTCACCAAATACCTTCAGGGTCTCATCTTCACCTTGTGCTCCTTTTTTCCCCAGATTATTCAGGACAGAATATTCAAGCACATATCACGTAACAGCTTAATATGGAACAAACATCCTGGAGGATTGTTCGTACTACCACAGTATTCATCTTATCTGGGAGATTTTCCTTACTACTATGCTAATTTAGGTAAGTGAATTTCTTCCAGGGAGCTACCGTTCTTTACCCTCAAGACGTCATCTAGAATGAAAGCCCCTTGATTCATCTCTTCTTCAGTGGAGTCTCTTTAACTGCCTACATCAGAGATTGTTTTCTGAGCCCTATTGTTAATAGCACATCAAGTTCAAAAATTATAAATCCAGCAAAATATTGAAGAAGAAAAAAACTTTCTCAACTCATCTGAGTGACTACACTTTGTATTTTGTAGAGTTATTTCTTTGGAGGTAATAGGGTCCCCAATTTACAGATCATTTTGAACATGACAGTGAGGCAACTGTAATTTTAAGTCCTATCATGTATAAAAATGGACTGGCAAGAGCTCTCCCTCATATTTTTTTCCCCCACAGTCCCAATATCTCAATCCCATACTAAAAAACTGAACTAATAAGAAAAGAAAAAGCAACTAAGAATCTACAAGGGCAACAGTATTCATTTCATTGACATGCTCCTTTGAAAGGCTATGCTAATACAGAGCTAGAAATAAAAAGTGAAATAAGGCCCAGCTACTGTGGCATCGCAGTAATGCTAGTGCCTCTCAAGGCTAGAGACTGTGTTGTGGCCGTGGGTTTGGCTCTCTGGGTCATCCTGTAAACACTCCAGGTGTGTATGCAGGTGCCCAGATCCTGAGGAGCTGGATCTCTGAAGAAAGGGGGTTATGGCAGAACAAGACGCTGTCAAAGATGCATCTCTCCCTTTCTGTCCTGCCTGTACACACCCATACATTTTCTTTATCATTGCAAAAAAGTCTAATAAGATGCATTCTGTGCTCTAAGGAGTTTTTTGTCTCATCACAGTGGAGCGAAAGAAATGAGCAGAGGAAAGGTCTACAAAATCCTACTGTTATTGTCATAGATACTTATATACTTGGTACTCAGTTGCTGTCATGTTCCTACTAGTAATAATTTTCTGACTAAGATAGTAGGTAGTCAATAGGAATTTCTCTGTATTTTGTGTAGAATACTGAGATACTCATTTGAAGTTAGCATATTTTAAGTGTATAAATGGTGGGGCTAGCCTATAGCCTTGTCATTAAAGGAGCCAGATCTCACACAGCCTGCTGTGGTTCAAGTCTTGACCCATATGGCAGGAAAAACACACTGGGCAGGTATGCATGTGTGTGCCAAATCTCCACAGGATGGAGAAATGAGGAGAAAGGATTGCAGTGTGGCTCTACCTGTTGGGGTGGGGATGCATTCTCTTTCTCTCTCTCTTTCTCTCTGGTGTGTGTGTGTGCCGTCTGGCAATTAAAAAGTATAATAAGTGTATAAATGATGTTTCATAAACTATTACAAGAAAGTCTAAAAGCAATCAATGACTGGTCTCATTGTTAAAAAGACAATTCTACAGTCGTGTTTTCTATTCGTATTTGGTAAAACTTTGAATATGTGTCTGGATAGTAGGAATGTGAGCTTCTTTCTAACATACAATTAAAGTGTGCTAGTTGATATCATTTGTTTTACAAAACATGTGTATAATCCTTTAACAGTTATGGAACGATTCTTTCTTTTATCCCCTCAATATCAAAGTTTTACTTGGATGTCTGTACTTTCTTCTTCACATTTGAGCAACTAAAGTGCCAAATTAGTGGGTCTAAACTAATGAAGTTTTAAAAGGCTCTTTAACCTAATTTCTTAGTGAGTTTTTATGGGAAAACTCATTGGGGGAAAGCCATCTCACTTCTGTCTCTTTGGTGGCAGTGGTTGTTTTGCATATTTATGATCCTTCTACCTAGTACTTCAGAGCTCCCAGTTGGCAGAAGCCTGCAGCACACACTTTTCTCTCAGCTATGTTACTGCTACACAAAGAGATTCTTGGAGCCTGGAGGCTAAGTCTTCTCCAAAGTGATAATGATGATGATGATGGTGGTGGCGATGTTCATAGTGGCTAACACATACTGTATACTTACTATTTGCTAAGCCCCATTCTAAGTGTTTTGCATGCATTAACTGATTTAATTCAATTCTCACAATAACCACATAAGTTTATACTATTACCATCAGCTCATCTCACAGCTATGGAAACCCAGACAGTTAAGTAATTCTTCCAAGGTCCCATCAGCACTAAATGTACAACCAGGATTCAGCTAGACAGTCAGGCTCTTGTTGCTGGTTTTTGTTTTTCTTTTTTTTTTTTTTTTTTAAACTTTTCCTGCTTGCTGGTTATTACATGAAATACTCTTAATCAAGAAGAAAAACAAAAACAAAAACCAACATCTAATTACATAATTAAGAATAAGACACATACAAATACCCTGAAAGAGATAGCACTTTTTTTTTTTTTTTTTTGAATTCACATCAAGCTATACAAGCAGGCCAGCCCAGTAACACAGTAGTTAAGCGCTGTGTATTTGAGGCCGAATTCCACATGGCTAACTGCAGCTCGAATCCTGGCCCCAGTAGCTTGAAAAGTACACCAGGGGTGTGTTGCTTGCATGCCAAAGTCCTGATAGTATGGAGAAATGGAAGGTAAAGGATTGTGGCAGTAACTTGCCTCATTGTAGGATATCTTTTCTCTCTTTCTCTGGAAAATTTAAATGTATTTATTTGTTTGTTTATTCATTTATATAGGATCTTCAAAACAATCATGGAAAATGCATTTTGTGAAAAACTATGCATGGCTTTCTAAAATTTTTTCTGGTACCAAAATAAACGCATACTTTGATTCCATTTTGCCATGAATTTTTTTTTTTTTTTTTGGAGAGGTTTTCACTATAGGGCTCGTGTGCTCGCCAGACAGACAGAGAGAGACAGAGAGATAGAAAGTGAGAAATCACCATGCAGTGGGGATGGTCAAGCCGCAATCCCTTCTCTTCCATTCTCCTTTTGGGATCTTGGGTATGCCAGCGTGAATGTAAGCTGCTGGGTCCAGGACTTGAACCGCAGTAGACTACATGGGAGTCCAGCGACATAGCCATTACACTAACTGCTGGTCCAAATTTGGAGAATTCTTGCACAGAGGAATCAGGAAAAAAAATGCTCATTAACTTTGGATTTTCTTCAAATATGGTGAGTGTGGCTTCTTATGATAATATTTGATGCTTTAAAAAAAAGGCACAAGCTGTCCCATCTCAACACACACTAATCTACAAATATTTGCATAGAGTGTTAACTTAAAAACAAAGGGGATGGTCATCCCGCAATCCCTTCTCCTCCATTCTCCTCTTGGGATCTTGGGCATGCACTCACACGCACCCGGCGTGAGTTTTAAGCCACTGGGTTCGGGACACGAACTGCAGTCGACTACATGGGAGTCCAGCGACATACTCATTACAGTAACTGCTGGTTCCTTTAGCCATGAATTTTTTGAAGCCCCCTTTTAATGGACTAGAGTAGAATATTCTTGAAAGTGGTGAAGGGGTGCGAGTGTGTGTGTGTTTGTGTGTAGACACTGAGTACCTAAAATGCCAAAGAAAGGTCAAAGAAGCATCACCAGTGGAGGAAAAGTGTGTCAAAGGAAGAACCTGGAAATGGACATTGATCTGAAATGGATCAAGGTCTCTAGACTCATGCAGTAGTTAAGCAGCTTTTCACCTTGTTTTCCTTCTGTCAGGACATAGATGTGAAGGAAAAATATGCTGAAAGGGAACATTAGCTCCAGGGTGAGGCAGCAGAGCAAGGATAATTTTCTCAGCCTTGTTTTTCATTGCTTCATTAGGCTCCTCTCTCGTTTCATTTCAGGTTTAAAGCCCCCCTCCAAATTCACTGCAGTCATCCATGCGGTGACACCCCTGGTCTCCCAGTCCCAGCCAGTGTTGAAGCTTCTCGTGGCTGCAGCCAGATCCCAGTACTGTGCCCAGGTGAGTGGCAGGTTGACACAGCGGCCCGCCTGCTCCAGCGCTGAGGACTGGAAACTCCTCACTCCTTATCTGCTGCAACTGACTCTGGGGGCTCTTCTGATGTCACCCTTGTTCCCCCCTTTTCATTTCTTGTGCCCTTTTCATCAACTTCAAGGTTCTTAGAAGTGAAATTTGGCACAGGCAAGGAGTAGGTTACAGAGAAGTCCTTGTACTGGTATAAGGTTAAAAAATACATATGGCATGGGAGTCCAGCAACTCAACCACCACACCACCTGCAAGCAAGCAAGCAAATACATACATACATACATACATACATACATACATACATACATACATAAAAATATGGCTGGGGGAGCCAGAGGAATACATCAATACAAAAAAATATGGCTGGTTTAGCCAGTGACAAAGCTGAATTTCACCTGGCTAACTATACTGTTTGAATCCTACAACATTAGCTTGAAAAATAAGCCATGCACATGTGTGTGTGTGTGTGTGTGTGTGTGTGCCCAAAATCCTAAAAGGAGGGAGAAATGGAGGATCCCCATGGGGAATGATTTTCCACTTTCCATCTCTCCCTCTTTCTCTCTGCCTCTTGCTGGTGAATGCACATAACCCCTGGCTCTATATACGTGTGTGTGTGTGTGTGTGTGTGTGTGTATTTACATACATATGTGGGAGGGGTATTTAATTTTCTTGAATATATATGCAGTTAAGGACCACATAACAACATAGCATCCAACAATGGGCCGTGTGTGTGATGGTGGTCTCAGAAGTAGAACATAGGCTGTGCCGTAAAGCCTGGGTGTACAACCTAGCCCGTGGCCATGCCATCTAGGTTGGTGTAAGTCATGCTGCTGTTTACACAATGACAAGATCAGCTAAAGATGCAGTTCTCAGAGCACATCCCTGTAGTATGCTGCGTGTACATAAACCAACACATTCTCTACAGGATATATAATCACATGATTTTTTTTTTTTAAATGTCAAAATAAGAAAGCAACATCAGGCCACTGGGAGATCCCAGAAACCCAGATTTCAGTAGAAGAAACTGACTCGTTGGTGTCAGGAGGCATCTACTTTTCACAGCAATCATGACTAATTATAAAATTGGGAGCAGAAGATTATATCTATGGTAACAATATTTTCCAAATCAGCGTCTCTCCCCTACTCCTAACAGAGGTTTTCTGATGCGTAAATTAGTTTATATAAGAAGGTTTACAAACGAGGAGAGAATTGCATCACGTTACAGTATGTATTTTTGAAGTAAATGTCTTTATTGGAAATTATAAAGTCGCATAAAATCAGCCACCATTCTGGAGAATCCAAAACACGAGCTCATCTTAGTTCCGTCTTGAATTCTTTTATTTCTCCCACATTGCCTGGTGCAGCACAAGTTCGCAGCAGATGTTCAGATGTTCAGTGTACATTTTTATTTAATTTGTGCCGAGTTGTTATCTCACTCATCATCATAAGATATCAGAATTTAGAAAAACACTTTATTAAGTTCTAGCAACCCTGAAATTACTTCTTTTTCCTCCAGCTTTTCTCTACCCCCAAGACACAGCTTTTTAGGTTATCCTTTCCCTCCTTTATCTCTAGTTGTTGAAGTGATAAGGTTCTGAAGGTTACGTGGGGGTGGACTCGCTTTAAAACTCAGTTTTGATGTCTGCTGTTCTGCCTTGCTGAGATCTCCAGCTCCTTTCTCTTTCTGGCCCTGAGAAGAGCCTTTGGGTTGGAGGCTTACATAAATACAACCTAACCCGGCCATCTAATGATCCCTGTCCCTTTCAGATCATAGTTCTATGGAATTGTGACAAGCCCCTACCAGCCAAACACCGCTGGCCTGCCACTGCTGTGCCTGTCATCGTCATTGAAGGAGAAAGCAAGGTAGGACTTAAAGGGGATCTATATGTGGAATGACCATGAAATCTTCATCCCCCTGTGGCCTGGGTGTGGGCCCTGCTGTGTCGTCGTCCGTGGGAGCTGCTGGCCCTGGATTCTTTTTTCTATAACTGTGTTTGACTCAAGATGCCCGTAGTTTTGACAGCCATAGGCTTTTGAATCAGGGAAACCCAAGAGTTAATACGAACTTGTAGCTATGTAACCTGGCATCTATATCTAACCTCTTTCAACCTCAGCTTTCTCATCTACAAAATGGAAATAATAACACCTACCTCGTATGGTTGCTATTAGGAGTAAATACATGAAGGGTTTAGAAATAGTCATGTTTTTCATAAATGGTGAGGCTGAAGATAAGGTTGATGCTGGCAATGATGTACAAGGTTTGCTTAGCTGATTAATGCAAATAAGTTGTGCCTTTCAAAATAGTGATTCTTCCTCACATTTATATTTTGAAAAGTATTTTTACCTTAATTTGGTTTTGGTCTCTACAACCAAAGACTTATGAGTACTGTCTAGCTGGTCTCACTCTTCCATTTTCCAATTTACTTTGCATAGAGTCGAACAACCTTCCTTATCATTTCACAGCCCTTCAGGGACTCCAGTGCCTTAAATTAGCATTTGAGGCCATGCATAGCACGATCTGGCCTCAGCCAGCCTTCTGATCTCTCCGTGCTTACCCCTAAAGATCTGGACCCCTATCAAATTTGATCATTTATAATTATCTGTATTGTACGGTGTCCCTTCCTGTCTTTGATGATGGTCCTTGCTGTAAGTCTTAATCATCCCTTCTCAACCCTTCCATTTGCTTTTTAATATTTTCATATATCCTTTCAGCCCCTCTTTGCTTACTATCTCTTTAAAATATCTACCACCATCAGCAGCCAGAGATGAGCTCTTTTTCCTCTCGTTTCTACTTATTACTTGCTTATAGGTCTTACCCATTGCAAAAAAAAAAAAGTAAGTTATAACTAAATAAAACTGCTTGGTGAAGAAGTGTCACCTGAGAGACTTCCTTTGTCAGTTTTCAAGGGGTCAGGTCATGTCATTAAAAATAGGCTCACACTAAGTAAACACTTTGAGTCAGCATGACAAAATATCAATTTATGAGGTTGAACCATTGGGAATCATCATTGGACTCACTGTAAGTGGCAGTTTAATATGATTTAACATAGTGCAGTAAAAATTGTAACTACTGGGAACCAGCAGTTAGTGTAATGGCTATGTCACTGGACTCCCACGTAGTTGACTGTGGTTCGCGTCCCGGACCCGGTAGCTTAAAACTCACGCCGGGTGCATGTGCGTGCGTGCCCAAGATCCCAAGAGAAGAATGAAGGAGAAGGGATTGCGGCATGATCTTCCCCCCTGAGGGGTGATTTCTCTCTTTCTGTCTCTATATCTCTCTCTGTCTGTCTGGCGAGCGCATGCGCCCTAAAGCGAAAAACCTCTCCAAAAAAAAAAAAAAGTTGTAACTACAACTTGAACAAAATGATCCGTGTATTATCTATTCAGTTCTGGTTCATGAGTGCCTACTGTGTGCTTGGTGCTTTGAATGGGCTCAGAACACAGCTGGGACTATCACAAATAGAGATACAGCCTCATGGGCTGGGGTCAAGCATCATGATTACCAAAGAGCTGATTGATAAGCATTAGCTGAGAAAAGGTGAGAATGGGACCAGCAATTAACGTAATGGCTATGTCACTGGACTCCCATGTAGTCTACCCCGGTTCGAGTCCCGGACCTGGCGACTTAAACTTGCACAAGGCACGTGTGCATGCGTGCCCAAGATCCTGAGAGGAGAATGGAGGAGAAGGGATTGCAGCGTGGCCATCCCCCCTGGGGGGTGATTTCTCACTTTCTGTCTCTCTGTCTTTCTGGCAAGTGCACGTGCCCTATAGCAAAAACCTCTCAAAAAAAAAGAGAAAAAAGTAAAAAAAAAGGAGAAAAAAGTAAAACAAAAGGTGAGAATTACCATAATTGCATGCCTCCTGGCATCAGTCTTTCTTACCTTCATGAACACATCTCTCCACAGGCTTGGCCTTATGAATGGGACTGGCAATGAAAATCTACCTATAACCCCTTACATCTATCTCCCCAGTAGAATCACCTGTCGCAGGAACAGCAGTGTTAATCCAATGCTTGAAGTCCTAAGCAGTGCTTGGACAGATGTGGCTAACTTTGAACTTGGAAATGTTTTATGTTTCCATGGGTGACCGGATCTTCTGATAGAGACGTCTGTCTTTGGATATGTCAGCATCCAATCTGACTAATTGGGTTGAAGTTCCTACTCCTTAGTTTAAATTGCATTTTCATGCCATGGCTCATTGATCGACTATATATTTTCACATTTATTGAGCAATCTCAGTTCCTTTATTTATAATATATTCATAATTATATGTTTGTAACAGTCCCTTTCTTGTGGGCATATCAGGTGTCCAAGATGCCTCAGATTCTGCCTGCCATATTGCTATCTGTAATGCTGGCCATTTGTTCAGTCCTAACTCTAGCCTGGACACTGATTTTGGTAGGCCATATAGTTCCTGTGCCCTTTCCCTCACTCTGAGTGTCCCAGGGTTGCACCTCTTAGTAAAGCATTTGCACTTGAGTCTTGCTTCAGGCTCCACATTCTAGGAAACCTGGGCTAAGTTATGGAGATTAAATGAAATACTGCATGGTCAGTGCGTAGCCCTGGGCCTATTATACACACACCAAGGGTTCAAAAACTATCAGCTTCTCTTCTGGGAAACGTGTTATGGTTTGTGTCATGATCTCCAAAGTCAGACTTCCTTTTGTGTGACCTAGGAGGAGTTACCATCTCTGTGCCTCAGTCACACATTTTGGTAAATGAAAGCAATCATAGCATTCAGCTAGTTAATGTGCAAGTGGGATCGAATGATATCATGCCATACATATCAATGTACTTGCAAGTATGGGCACATCGTACATGTTCAGTAAGTATTAACTAGTATTGAGCTTTGTGGAATTATGTACATTTTCTGTCTTCTCCATGAGACAGTAAACTTTTTGAATCATGGTCATTTCCCAGTCATATTTGTTCATTCTGAAAGTGTTGGGCTCTTACATGGTAGCTAGCTATTTCTTAAATGAGCTAACAAGGAAAGCCTGGTTCACTCAGGATTGTAAATATATTTGTTCATCTCATGTTATTGTGCTGTTGAAGAAGTCATGATGCATTTTTGTATAGAAAAAGATAGAAAAATATGTCATGACTTTCCTGACGACCTAATAATTCATTTAAGAAGGTAGTTCATGCAAGGTTTTTCATCGAGAACCTCTGGTTCTCATAGTCAAACTTGGAAGTGGCTGATTTATGGGCTCTTATCCTCAGTTGAGGAAGCAAGTTCAGGGGAAAAGAAAGAAAGAGAGAAAAGAAAGAAAGAGAGAGAGAGAGAGAGGGGGAGAGAGAGAGAGAGAGAAAGAAAGAAAGAAAGAAAGAAAGAAAGAAAGAAAGAAAGAAAGAAAGAAAGAAAGAAAGAAAGAAAGAGAGAGAGAGAAAGAGAGAAACTATGCTGTAGATACACCCCTGGAGCTCACCAAGATAGGTTAGAGTGGGCACTTTCCATTCTTTCATGTCCTGAACACTCCAGCAGCTTCACAGGCATGTAAACCACATTTGCTGAGAGAGAGAGAGAGAGAGAGAGAGAGAGAGAGAGAGAGAGAGAGAGAGAGAGAGAGAAAGAAAGAAAGAAAGAAAGAAAGAAAGAAAGAAAGAAAGAAAGAAAGAAAGAAAGAAAGAAAGAAAGAAAGAAAGAAAAAAGAAAAGAAACAGATCCTTTAAAACTAAGTGGTTGGGTGGATGATGAAGAAGTTTCTTATTCTCCATTTTTAAATCTCCATGTCTCGTCTTAACTTCAAAATTGATGTGTTTGCTGCTTTGCCTGCAAAATTCCATTCGGAATTTATAGGCCTTGTCTTTGCAGTTTTCCCTGTAGGCTGAACAAGGGAAAGGTCAGGGCATTGCTAAGCTGGCAGCGAATGGTTTCTGCGTTAGTCAGTAGACATGTAAACAGTATCCGGAGAATAGCTTCAGGCTGAGATTTCTGAGCACTGTGTATACGAGGTTGCTGATCACTTTGTATTTTATTTTATTTCAAAAGCCCACAAAGGATGAGACAAAAACAAAACCCCTAACCCAGTTGACAGATGTGTAGGAGCAGCCCCTGAAACTATGCTGTAGATACACCCCTGGAGCTCACCAAGATGGGTTAGAGTGGGCACTTTCCATTCTTTCATGTCCTGAACACTCCAGCAGCTTCACAGGCATGTAAACCACATTTGAAACGAGGCCTATGGGTGAGGCTGGCTTTGTGATGTGAACATAGCCTAGACTTCCTTTGGAGTGCCCGCATTGGCAGAGTATACCATGAGCAGCTGCTTGTGTGTCTGTTTCCCCTTTCACTTTGTTTCCAACACTTATCTACTTCATTCCCTGGCCTTTGTGCCTTCAAAGTTGATGGCAAGTGTGTCTTTTTTCTCAGTTCTCCAAGTGTGAATTCCTAGGGGATACCATAACCATTAATATACTTTCTAGGAGAAAGTGTTGAGTATATATGAGTGCCATGTCTGTCCCTAAATTAACCTTCGAGGTCATTTCTAAACTCGAGACAGTGACTGAGGTGCTCTATGCATTCACACCATCGGGGACGAAATCCCACGTTCATGGTGGACAAGATACTTAACTTTTCTGTGCCTCAGTTCCCTCCCCTATTAAATGGGGTTATAATAAAGATGAAAAAAGATGATGTTTGTAAAGGATTAGAACACTTTCTGGCATAGAATAAATGCTCAAAAATGTTAGTTATTCTTACGGTATCAGTGTTATGGTCAGTTGCTCTATTGTACGCTCAGACAGAGGGTTGAGTGTGGCTCTCACAGTGTAGCCATTCCAGCTTCAGTTTTTCCAGCTGATCGTCTCATCTTAAAATCCCCTCTCTCAAACACACACAAATGACCACATCTTACCCTGGAATTTCCTAAACGTTATTCACATAGTAATTTCCTAAATTCATAGACCACACGTGATATTTAATATTTTTCTTTAAATTGGCTTATTTTTCATCTTAATGGCATTTTGTAAGTAAATGCATGACTTCCTGTGATCACCACAGCTGTCCACATGTATGTGTATGTATTTTATAAATCTGTGCTAAAATAAATATGTATTTGATTTTTAAATGTTTGCATACCTCCTACAGTGACCTGGTTTTCCAGTGGTAGTGTCCTGTGTCTGGAATCACTGTATCACTTTTCCACTCTCTGGTTCTTTTTTCTGTGCTTTTGCATCTACCAAGTATACCTGATAAATTCCTAGCCATCAAGGTTCTACTGAAATGTAACTTCTTCTCTGAGGCCTCTGTCTGCTCCTCTAAGCAGCTGGTTGCTCTATCCTTTGGCCTCCTGGTGTTTTTCATTTCAAGCCCATTTGCTTCTTGGTCTCCACCAAGACTATAAACCCTTAAAGACAGGAAATACGTCTTACTTACCTTTGCACTCCCTTTGGCCAGCAAGGTACCTTCTACACCATAGGTGTCCAATAACGGAACAGATGAGTCTGTATTGATGGGAGATGGATATCTGTCATTGCTGAGGGCTGACATGATGGTAGAGCATTGTTTGTGATGGTAAGGATAGAAAGATTTCCCCCAAAACAAGACTAACTGTATGTCTCTGACTCTCCTCCCCTCCCTCCTGCCTCATTTCTACTACTCTGCAGGTGATGAGCAGCCGATTTCTGCCCTATGACAATATTGTCACAGATGCTGTGCTCAGCCTTGACGAAGACACTGTGCTTTCAACAACGGAGGTAAGACCCCACCGAGGAGGGGCTGGTGGGCTCTTTGAGCAGCTGCCCAAGTCCCCGAGTGCCAATGCATCTGTTGCCTTTGCCTTGGTGAAAGTCAAAAACAATTTTTCTAAACTTATTGCAGATTGGTTTTAATCAACCCAATTTTTGTCAGCACCTTGCTACTGCTCAGCACTCTGATGAGGGCCCTTTGTTTTCTCTGCTAATTGGCTCCTCATTTGCATTACTGTGCTTCCCCTCTCCCTGCCTGCCTGCCCTTCAGTTTTGGTCTTAAACCTCATGCTGTGGGCAGGTGTGCAGATGGAAAGAAGGACGGGACACATGTTCAGCAGTATCTTGAAACCTTGCCGTCCACAGCACACTACCCCATCCCTCTCTGAGTGTCCGGATACTTGTGCAGGTGTGTTGCCTGTTTGGGAACATTGTTCTCAGTTCTAAAGGCAACTTTTCTGTTTCAGTTTAAAGTGCTCGTTTCTTTCACCCACACGAGACCAAATGGTCTCACTTTAAGGCGGAGATGGAGATCCCTGCTATTTCAGATGTTCAGATATCTCTGCAAAAAGTAAGATTGCCCAAAGAATGTGTGAGGAGGAGAGAGAAGAGGAAGGACAAATATGGTAGAAAACAAATTCTTACAACTCCAATGAGTATTGATCTCTGAAACCTTACCTCAGACCATGCAGGAGACAAAAGACAGCTATATAAATATGTATACATCACAAATAGATTTTGGGGGGTTTTTTGGGGAGAGGATTTTGCTATTGGGCGTATGTGCTCACCAGAAAGCCAGAGAGAGACAGAAAGACAGAAAGTGAGAAATCATCCCCCAGGGGAAAGGCCATGCCTCAATCCCTTCTCCTCCATTCTCTTGTTGGGATCTTGGGCACGCATGCACACGCACCCGGTGTGAGTTTAAGTCACCAGGTCTGGGGCTCTAGTGGTCAACTACATGGGAGTCTAGCGACATAGCCATTACACCAACTGCCTGTCCCCAGAAATAGTTTATTAATGGTAGCTGCTAAAAAGTATGGAGACTTAACTACTTATTACCTTTCCCTCTCTCTATTTTCTCTTTTATTCATAATTATTCCTTTCAGTTTAAACATAGACACTTAGCAGCATGCATTTTCCTGGACATTAGTCTGGTTCCAGTCCTCTGCCACCCACATAACCAGGACTTGGTGTTGACCTAGGCTGGCCAACTCAGATACTCTTTCTTGAAATTCCACCAGTGCTTCCAATTCCATCAGATGGAGTTAAATGTTATGTACAAAGGCAACCTAAATAATTCCAGGACAAAATGTTCTGGGCCTCACCTTGTTAGAATGCTTTGTATGTAGCCAAAGCTCTATAAATACTTGTTGAATGAATGGTTGGGGGGATGCGTGCTGTGGGGATTAAAGGGTGAACACACAGCCAATTGTGTCAGTATAATTAGATGGGGTTGTTGGGGAGATGGTATGCTTAATGTTCAAAGAGAAAGGCAGCTATAGAATACAGGATTCGGGACACCCCAGCTTGCACTTTTTTGCTGTTTCCTGCAAGGGAAGCTGGCATCCCAGGAACACATTCATTCAACAAGCATTTATTGAGAGATTTCTCTGTTCTGGTTTCAATGCCAAGTACTTTGGTTACATAGTTCTTGCCTGTACTTTTCAGAGTCCTGACAGCAAACAGAATTCAAATCAGATGATTCAAATGAAGGAAATTTGGATTACTTAGAGAATGTGGGTGGGGTTAAAGGACCCCACAGAGATGGTGAAGCACCTAGACAGTAGCAAGCATAGGAAGTCTCACCCACCCCTAGGTCTGAAGGAGTGGAAGAAGGAAATAGTTCCAGAGCCCCTGAGTGATAGAAGGGGAGGCTGCCCTAAAAGACCTATGATTATGGAAGGAAATGGCTACTGCCTGAATTCTAGTACTGAAGCAAGGAGGGAGCAGGCAAGAAATACCCTGACCTCTTCTATTGTCCTGCCTCCATTTCTCTTGCTGGCAACTTCCATTGAGCCAACCTAACCAGAAACCAGCCTGCAAGGAAGACGGGGTGGTTTAGTCCCATAGGATTCTTCTGTCCCAGGGTGCAGCTCAGGACAGGTAGTTTTTTTCCTGTCCCATGGTGAAATAGCTCTGCCACTGTGATGCCTCCTAGTGCTGGTGAATTTCTTCTCAGGCCATTGCAATCCTTACCACTCGGTGCATGCTGGGAGGAACATGTGTTGTATGTGAAGTAATTAGAAGTCATCGTGGGTTGAAAATGATATGTAAATTTAAGAGGCTGGCAGCCTGCTTTACTTTTGCCTGCTGATCAGAGGAGTGGTTGTGTTGCCTAAAATGGTCTTGGGCACGAATTTCTCTTTTCTCTTTTTTTTTTTTATGTGAATAGATGTTTCATATTTCTCCTCTAAGGATTCTTAGCTTGTTTAAATGTCCCTCTGTAGCATTAAGGAAAGATTTTTTTTTAAATGGGATTCTATAAAGAATATTAGATATAGTTGGTTTATAGTTATTTACATTTATCTAGGTTACTGCAAATCCTCAAAAGAAAACAGATGTTGATTTTTAAGAGAAAAGGCCATATTGCTGACCTTTGCCGCCTTTGATGTGTTAATGATGTGTAGGAAAGCTGAGCTATCACAAGAATCATAGTTTTATCTGAATTTACTTTTGAGTTCCTTTGAAATGACTTGAAACAGCTTCGAGATAGTCAGAAATTCATGCGATGAAAACACCCCATTGGGTTCTGTAGTAGTTGCCAGTGCATGTGTTTCCTTTTTAAAGAATAATGGAAAACCCCAAAGAGTGCTGACAGCTGATTCTTTGATGACAAGCTACATAATATACTATCCCATCAGTTGGCACCATTAGTGTTGAATGCCAATGAGGATGTGTAGGTTATCATGGCCTTGTTTCAATTTTCTGGCAAATGCTGTCCACTCCTCTGCTGTCTTTTAACTTGGAGATACTTCACTCTCTCCAAGCTTTCTTAACCACCTGATACACCCCCTACCCCCCTACCCCACACTAGATATTATCGTTTTAGGGAACAAGCTGTGTTGTTAATTCTGTCTTATCTTGAGATAAGACAGTGTATTAGGGTTTTCCAGAGAAACATAACCAAGGAGTATGTATGGAGCTTTATTATGAGAAGCTGGCGATTGTGGAAGTTGAGAAGTCACTTAATCTGGCGTCTGCAAGCTGGAGACACAGGCAAGCTGGTGGCATAATTCCAGTCTGAGTCTGAAGACCCAAGAACCAGGGGAGCCAGTGGCATAAAGCCCTGTCCAAGGACACTAGAAGGACAATGTCCCAACTCAGTCAAGCAGGCAGGAAGAAAAAGAAGAGTAAATTCCTCCTTCCTCTGCCTTTTTGTTCTATTTACGTCCTCAGAGGATTGGGTGATTCCCACCCACATTGGAAAAGGCAATCTGCTTCGTGGAGTCCACCAATTCAAATGTTCATCTCCTCCAGAAAACACCCTCACACACATACCCAGAAATAATCTTTAATCTGGGAATCTCACGTTGCAGTCAAGTTGACACATAAAATTAACCGTCATGGGGACCAAATTGAATTTTCATAAAACAGTGGATCTATAGTTGTTTACACAAACAGTGACTTCTAACTAAGCTGAAAGAATTTGGGGATAAAAAGATCTTCAAAAAAATCACTCAGGCCAATATTTTTTTTCAAAAGATGATTTATGTATATAAAAAAGTTTTATTTTTCCCCTCTTTTTTATTTTCTTATTTTTTTAATTCAATCATGGTACATCTTTGCAGCATACCAAATGGATTTTCCCAGCATGAATTCACTGTATAGTAGTCCAAAGACATTACCATATACATATAACAGTTTTACATGGTTCACTGCAAGCACATTTCACTCTAACAATTATGTTTTTGCTATAATGTTTGCTAGAAAATAATGTTGGACCAGCCCAATGGCCTAGTGACTAACTGAGCTGAATCCCACATGGCTGACTATGGTTCAAATCTTGGCCCCAGCAGCTTAAAAAACACACCAGATGTGTGTGTGTGTGTGTGCGTGCACGACCAAAATTCCAACAGGATGGAGACATAAGTAAGGGATTACAACGTGACTACACTCCACTGTGGGGTACTTTCTCCTTCTCTCCCTCTCTCTGTTTCTGTCTCTCTCTGCATGTACTCTAGCAATCAAACCTAGGATTTCACTTACATTTTTTACCTAGGATGAGATTAATTTAATTTTTTCTTTTTTTAAAAAAGAGTAGTCAGTTTAAAGAAATATATTGATAAACTGAACATGTGATATCATAATTATGGCACAAAGCTTGGGAAATTCTAATCTAGGCTTATTTGCTCTGTCATTGGGGAAAATCCACAAAACATAAATGAACTATTTTTAAAATTATTTATTTATTTTGTGAGATTTTTGCTATAGGGCATGTATGCTTGCCAGAGAGACAGAGAGACAGAAAGTGAGAATTCATTCCCCAGAGAGGATGGCCATACTGTAATCCCTTCTCCTCCATTCTCCTCTCGGGATTCTGGGCACGCATGCACTCGCAGCCAGCATGATTTTAAGCTGCCAGGTCTGGGACTCAAACCACTGTCCACTATGTGAGACTTCAGTGACATAATCATGACGCCATCTCTCATCCCCATAAATTAACTATCTTTTTCTCTTTTTTCTTTTTTTGGAGAAGTTTTTGCTATAGGGTGCGTGCACTCGCCAGAAAGACAGAGAAAGACAGAAAGTGAGAAATCACCCCCCAGGGAGATGGCCACACTACAATCCCTTCTCCATTCTCCTTTTGGGGTCTTGGGCACACACACACATACACACCTGGCGAGAGTCGAACCATGGTCGACTATGTGAGAGTCCAGCGCCATCTGCTGGTCCCATATATTAACTATCTTAAGGTGTGTAGTTCATTGGCATTTCATACATTCCTGATATTGTGCGGTCATCATCTGTATTCTTCCCAAACTTTCCCATTACCCACAGAGGAGTCCTGTGCCCATTAAGCACTCACTCCTCAGGCTTTAACACCATCAGCCCGTGTTCTGTATATGGATTTACTAATTGTGGACCTTTCATATAAGTGAAATGACAAGATATGTAGCCTTTTGCATTTCTAACTTAGCATAACATTTTGAGATTCATCCTTGTTGCATATGAGACTACTTCATTTATTTTTATAACTGAGTAATATTTCCTTGTATGAATATGTCATATTTTATTCATCCATTGATGGAGTTTGAGTCTTTTACCTCTGAATCGTTATTTGTCTTGCATTTGAACCTCTGAGAGAACAGGATCTGAGCTTGCAACATCACTCGTTACCCAGCCATTGCAGTGCTGGGACCTGAAATAATTGTGGAATAAATGAAATTTCCATTTGTATTGCTTATTTAGGAGTAAAAACAAAGTTGCAGGGCAAAGTGTAACCCATATAAGAGAGAAATTGCTTTCTACACTGAAGCAATAGAACCAAAAGCAAGGTTGTGACACACCACACACTGGATTTGAAACCATATTGCCTGGGTTCGAATCTTTCCCCGGCCACTAAGTAGCTCAGGCAAGTGATGTGAACCTCCATGTATGTTCCATTCTTCCTCTAAGAATTGAAGACTCTGCAAGTACTTAACCTCGTAGGATTACTGTGAGGACAAAAGTGGTTAAATATTTAAATACCTTTTTATTTTCTATTTATTATTTTTATTTACCATCTATAAAAGGATCATCAAAAGTCAGAACTGAATTTGCACAGGTGCTAAGCATTGGTGCTAGCTTGTAGCAGATGTGAGGTACCTGTGGGTTAGGATAAGTACTGAAAAGTCATTTGGCTGCATTTCCTTTAAAATAATCCTGCGGCTTCACTTGGCCTTGTCTCTACTTACACTTAGCAATTTTCACTGTGGAGACTTTTTCAGGACTTCCCTTGCCTGTTTACCTTTAAAGCTGAGAGGCCTGAATTATTTTTTCTTTGTGATATCTTCTCTGTGTTCCTGTTAAAACCTATGCTCTTTTAAAACATCTTTTCTCTTTCTCTTAAGAGGACGCTGTGTTGTAGTCACTTTGGCTTCCCTATAGGCTGGGAATGATGCATGCTGTATATTCATTCTCTGGATATACATCGGGAGAGCAGTCTCGCTTATAAACAGATGCATTTGTGCTTCATGTGAATCAATAGCCACATGCACCTTGTTTGGAGATGGGGGGAAGCAACTACTTTTTTGACTTATGTTTTTGCTTGCACAGGTTAGGTTGCTAAAAGATATATTAGCAATTTTTTTTTCTTTCATTTCTGTACTGATCTGAAGTTTCTTTAGCAGAAAACATTAAAATGTGCATAATTATGGGGCAAAATGTCAAGCAGTCAGTTTAATTTGCTGATGAATACATAGAATTAATGTTTCGCAACAGTCCTGGGATTTCGTGTTATGAATTAGCAGGGGGAAGGTAATGTTTTGTTGACATTTGTTAACACTGTTGATTGCTTATTTGGCTTGTGTTCTGCCTGCAGGTGGATTTTGCCTTCACAGTGTGGCAGAGCTTCCCCGAGAGGATTGTGGGGTACCCTGCGCGTAGCCATTTCTGGGATAACTCCAAGGAGCGGTGGGGGTACACGTCCAAGTGGACCAACGACTACTCCATGGTGTTGACCGGAGCTGCTATTTACCACAAGTGAGGAGTGGAATCATCTCTCTTACACATTCGATCAAATTCCTTAGAGCAGTTTCTGGCTATCACTGAAATGAGAACGCTGGCCAGATCTTGTTAACAACATTAGCAACGTTTAGTCTATCTCTTTGCTTAAGTTTTGCTGATGTGGCAAATGTGTGTTTTTCAAAGCAGTGAGCCCTCTTGGTTTATTGCATTTGCAGAAATTATTGTAGAGTCTTATTTTCAGTTAGTCTGTGGTGTGAAGACATACTCAGGAATGGATTGGGGGACCAAATATTTAGAATAACGCAACGAAACCAAAGGCATAATTGAGGACTCTTAGACACTCTTCTAGGTGGCTGGGATTCACTACTGAGTAAAAGAGAAAAATTCCCTGCCAGTGCTGGTCTTTTATTCTTGCAAAGTGAAACACGATAGACATAATACTTACACAGTATGCCAAGGACGTAAGTGATACAGCAAAAAGATAAAGTAGATAAGAGTAAAGAATCATGAGTGCCAAAGGCAGAGAAGGACCTGTGAGAGGGTGGCCAGGATGGCCCTCACTGATCAGGTGAGATGTGAGCAGAGGCTTGAAGTGGGAGAGGAGGTTAGCCAGTAGGAGATCAATAGCCAGAGCTTTCTGGCACAGGGAGTAGCTAGAACACATGCCCTGAAGCAGAATATTGGAGATTCTGAATGTTGGAGAAGACCACTATGACTAGAGTAGAGGGGATGAGAACAGGGCTGAGATGTCTGCAAGCCCAGATGCAAGAGCTGGCTGTTCATCCTGAGGACTTTACTTTTCCCTGACTTGACATGGGGAACCAGGGCAGGGATTTGAATACAACAGTCATCTGGCTTATGTTGGATAACTATTCTGGATACTATCTTTAGAGTAGGCTATAATAGGGCCAGGGTAGAAGCTGGGAGACCTATGATGAGGTGATTGAGTTTATCTAGGCAAGAGATGGTAGAGCCTGGGACCAGGAAGTGAACAGTGGAGGTGGTAAGTGTGATCAGATGGTGGTCCAGCATGATGGCCTGACAAATTGGATAGAGTTTGATGGCCCTAAGTTTTCTCTCTCTCTTTTTTTTTTTTTTTTTTGGGGGGGGTTTTTTTTTTTTAAATATTTTGCTATAGGGCATGCGTACTCTCCAGAGAGAAAGAAAGCAAGAAATTACCCCTTGGGGAAATGGCCACGCCACAATCCCTTCTCCTCCATTCTCTTCTCGGGATCTTGGGCATGCATGCACACGTGCCCAGTGTGAGTTTAAGCCACAGGGTCTGGGACTCAAACCACAGTCGACTACGAGGGAGTCCAGTGACATAGCCATTACGCTAACTGCTGGTCCCAATGGCCCTAAGTTTTTTGACCTGAAGGATTAGAAGGACAGAATAGCCATTAACAGAAATAGGAAAGCTACTGATGGAGTAAGTATTAGGGAAAATACAAGAGTTGAGGCTTGGGCATTATCTTAAATTATTTATTAATTATTTAATAAATGGCGGCTTAAACTCACGCCGGGTGTGTGTGTGTGTGTGCATGCCCGAGATCCCGAGAGGAGAATGGAGGAGAAGGGACTGTGGCATGGCCATCCTCCCTGGGGGGTGATTTCTCGCTTTCTGTCTCTCTGTCTCTCTGTGTCTGTCTGGTGAGCGCATGCGCCCTATAGCAAAAACCTCTCAAAAAAAAAAATAAATTTAAATAAAATAATTATTTTATTTATTTATTTATTTGTTGTAGTTTGACTAGAGAGGGACAGAGAGAGAAAGTGAGAAAGCAAGCCGCCAGGTTCAGGACTCAAACCACCGTTGGCCATGTGGGAGTCCAATGCCTCCAACCACCATGCCACCCCTAGCCTTGGGCATATTAAGGATATGTTGAGAAAGGTCAGAGATGGAGATATAAAATTGGCATTTGCCTATGTTTGGTCTTTAACACTGAGATACTTGAGTAAGATTGCCAAACTAGAGTGCAGATAGTTAACATCCCCACTTAGTCATTAATACAACCCTCACTCTTTTGTCTTAGTAAGGTGAATACACCAATCTTACCTTGGTCTTCTGAAGTAAAGAATAAATGATCTTGCCATCTCTGGGATAGGTTTGGAAATGCCCAAGGTATAAACATTTTGGTTCACTGAATCTTGATTTCAATATTCCACCTTTTAAAATGTATTTTAAATGTAAAATACGCCCCTTCATCCTGCCATGATCACATAAATGTGAATATTATGTTGTTGGTAAAGTCATAACACATATTTGCTTAGAAAAATAGAAAAATATGTCACGACTTTACCACCAACCTAATAATTCACTCAAATGTTTTTTTCATAAATATATGCCATATGTATGTTCATCTGTGTAAAAAGAAATAGCAATTTGAGAAATTATTCAGATTATTTGTTGATTCTCTATGTTTGACTACCAGATTAATTCATATTTTGCTCAGATAGGGTTAAAATATATATGGTTTATAGGACATAAGAGCAGAATGGTACATTGTTGAACAGAGTCTAGGGATAATATTGAATACAGTTCTCATTAAGCCAATGATTAAAATTGCAAAGCAACTTCTTCGTGATTCACAGATCATGGGTAAATAATGTCTTTTTTCAGCTGTGTATTCAGTTTCTCTTTCTAACCAACTAGGCTACTTGTTGAACTTAGACTGGGCAAATATTATTTGCATCCATGTATACCTCTGTGCTTTATTTCCTCATTTTAAAATGGTAATGATAATAGCATCCATTTCATAGGTTCCTTATAAGGAACTGATGAGACATCTCTTATAAAACACATTAGAGTTTTTCTGGCACAAAGTGAGTACCATGTAAGTGATAGATTGTCGCCGTCATCATCCTCATTATCACTCTCTGTGATATGTTTAGGGATTCCAAGAAAGGGTATTTTTCTTCTGTTAAAAGAAGTCCCCTTGTCATTATGTAATGATGGCCTCCTGTCTTGGTTTTTTACAGATATTATCACTACCTGTACACCCATTACCTGCCAGCCAGCCTGAAGAACATGGTGGACCAACTGGCCAATTGTGAGGACATTCTCATGAACTTTCTGGTGTCTGCTGTGACTAAATTGCCTCCAATCAAAGTGACCCAGAAGAAGCAGTATAAGGAGACAATGATGGGACAGGTAAGAGCGAAAGAACTTTCTTCCTTTGCTTTGCTCACTAGCAGTTCAGCCCAAAGTAATGAGGACTCCTGACCTTCTAGCCACTCTACCCCAAAGCATAATGAGATGTCAGAAATAAAACACGCCCATACACACCCTCTGAAGGAATGTGTGATTGGCATGTGGGCAATTAGGAAGACATAATTCGAGAGTATTTATGCCAAAAAAATAAAGTTTTTATATAACCTATAATGTGACATGAGAAAGGTATGTCTTCAGAGCTTGTTTTAGTCCTTTTAGGCTGCTATTAAAAAAGCAAGCAACAACAATTAAAAAAAAAAAGAAAAAGAAAAAAAAAAACACAAAATCATAGACTGAGTGGCTTAAACAACCGGCATTGATTTCTCACAATCCTAGAGGCCGGGGAGTCCAAGATCAGGCACCAGTTGATTTGACGTCTGGCAAGGGCCTGCTTCCCGATTTATAGATGACCACATGTTCTCACAAGGCAGCAACAGAGCTCGCTGGGTCCCTTCCAGTGCCAGTCCCATTCTGGAGGTCTCTCTGCTGTCATGACACCATCATGTCTCAAAGGCCTCACCTACAAATACTATCACATTGAGGAATTGAGGATTAGATTTCAACATAAAAATTCCGGGGAAACACAAATGTTCAGTCTATAGCAGAGTTAAAGACTTAGAAAAATTTTTGTAAGCATATAGTAAGTGCCTCACTTAATAACTGTCGAAGAGTACTCTTCAGCACACCCTGCTAGTGGTGGTTCTTGAGTTGATAGTGTACCATACTGACACACCAGTAGTCACAGCATTCAATTTTCAGTTCTGGAACCAGCATTCATAAGTTTCCTGCAGGTTAGCTGTCTTCAGAAATTCAGGTGGTTCATCTTTAAAGTAGAAATGCTAAAATTTAAAATAGGGCTGAGATAATTTTTGTGAAAGATTTTTTTGAAAAAGTAAAGTAAAATATGTTAAGTAATAAAAGTTTAGTTCCTAGTTAAAAGGCATATGAGAAAATGCTCAACATCCCTCATTGTAAGGGAAATACAGATCAAAACAACAATGAGATACCATCTAACCCCAGTCAGAATGACTAAGATTTAAAAAAAAAGAAAATGATAAGTGCTGGCGGGGGTGTAGTGAAAGGGGAACTCTTTTACACTGCTGGTGAGAATGTAAATTGGTCCAGCCACTGTGGAGAACAATTTGGAGATTCCTCAAAAATCTACAAATAGAACTACCATATGATCCAACAGTCCTACTCCTTGGTATCTACCCAAAGGACAGAAGAATACTTAATCAGAAAAGTGCTTGCATATCGATGTTTATTGCGGCATTATTCACAATTGCTAAGGCATGGAACCAACCCAAATGCCCACGAACAGATGAATGGATAGAAAAACTGTGGCACGTATACTCTATGGAATACTATTTGGCCATAAAAAACAATAAAACCCTGACTTTTGACAGGAAGTGGATGAATATGGAAGATTTACTGCTGAGTGAAGCAAGCCAGGCTATGAAGGAGAGGCATTGTATGTCCCCACTTAATATATACCAAATGTCTGCACTCTATGACTGAAACTGATTGACTAAAGGATATAGAAGCACAGTATATAGGTGTAAATACCAGATAAAATGTGTGTGAAAGAGGAGGGTCTGAGGAAAGACATTTAGAAGAAAAATAGGAGGCATAGCATTAATGGGACAAAGAAATGTGGAATCTGTTGAAGATGTTTTATAGTTTTATCAATTGTACTAGGGAGCAGTGTTCACCTGTTGAAATATTCATTTTGTAAGCTAAATAATGTGATTGAATGTATAAAAGAAAGTCAAATAAAAAATGAAAAAGAAAGTTTAGTACCAAAGATTTTTTTTTTTTTTTGAGAGGTTTTTGCCATAGGGCACATGCGCTCACCAGAAAGACAGAGAGACAGAAAGCAAGAAATCACCCCCCAGGGGGGATGGCCACAAGCCCTTCTCCATTCTTCTCTCAGGATCTTGGGCATGCACGCACATGCGCCCAGCGTGAGTTTAAGCCACCATGTCCAGGACTTGAACCGCAGTTGGCTACATGGGAGTTCAGTGACATAGTCATCATGCTAACTGCTGGTCCCAGTACCAAAGGTATTTCCAAGGAAATATAATCTAACTTCCTTTTTTGGGCGAGATTTTTGCTATAGGGCACATGCACTTGACAGAGAGACAGAGACAGAAAGAAAGAAATCACCCCCCGGGGGGATGGCCACACCTCAATACCTTCTCCTGCATTGTCCTCCTTGAGCATACACACACACAAAAACACACAACATGAGTTTCAAATTGCCAGGTCCAGAACTCAATCCATAGTCGGCCATATGGTAGTCCAGCAACATAACTACTATGCCACTGCTGGCCCCTCAACTTCCTTATTGATTGACTGGTTGATTGACAGATTTTTGCAATAGGACATGTGTGCTCACCAGAGACACAGAGGGACAGAGAGACAGAAAGTGAGAAATCACACCCTGGGGGTTTAGCCACACTACAGTCCTGTCTCCATTCTCCTCTCAGGATTTTGGGCATGAACACACACACATTCAAGGTGAGTTTCAAGCTGCCAGGTCTAGGACTCAAACCGTGGTCGGCCACATAACCATTATGCTTTCTTTTGGTCCCCCTTTCTACAAGTAAGTAAGGAAATAGGGCCTAGAGAATTTAAACATATTGCTACAAATTGCCCAGTAAGTTATAGACAGAAGTGGGAGTTGACTCTTAGGGTCTGTTCTTTCCACTTCCTATTCTCTTGTACCCCAGGTTCTTGGTTACCATGCCCATTTTGAAATATGAAATTTCATCTACCTACATTCCTCTTAGGCAGAGCCAATACTGTTTATAAGATATCAGAAACCTTAAGTCCACCCACATTTAATCATGGGTGATAGAATGAGAGGCCACCTGAATGAACATGCTTTAACATGGTTATATCAGTTCAGTTTTTTGGAGATTTCCATTAGCTTTGTTCACACAGGTGTAGAAAATTACTTACTAACTTAATTTTTACCAAGGAAAACTTAGCTAACACAATTGATGTTTTTATTCACTAAATTTAGGAAGAGCAAAATATTTACTGGATTTTAAGTTTATGAAATGTAGTCAATTGGCATTTACTGAACATGTACAAGTTATTAGGTACTGTTCTACACACTGGGCATGACAAAAGAGCTGTTCTTAGTGAGCAGAAAGTCTGGTGGAAATTTCTATTCCCTCCTAACTACCAAAAGAACAAGAAAGACGATCTACAAGAATAGTTTTTTTGTTTGTTTTTAAGAGAGAGATTTTTGCCATCACACCCTGGGGGTTTAGCCACACTACAGTCCTGTCTCCATTCTCCTCTCAGGATTTTGGGCATGAACACACACACATTCAAGGTGAGTTTCAAGCTGCCAGGTCTAGGACTCAAACCGTGGTCGGCCACATAACCATTATGCTTTCTTTTGGTCCCCCTTTCTACAAGTAAGTAAGGAAATAGGGCCTAGAGAATTTAAACATATTGCTACAAATTGCCCAGTAAGTTATAGACAGAAGTGGGAGTTGACTCTTAGGGTCTGTTCTTTCCACTTCCTATTCTCTTGTACCCCAGGTTCTTGGTTACCATGCCCATTTTGAAATATGAAATTTCATCTACCTACATTCCTCTTAGGCAGAGCCAATACTGTTTATAAGATATCAGAAACCTTAAGTCCACCCACATTTAATCATGGGTGATAGAATGAGAGGCCACCTGAATGAACATGCTTTAACATGGTTATATCAGTTCAGTTTTTTGGAGATTTCCATTAGCTTTGTTCACACAGGTGTAGAAAATTACTTACTAACTTAATTTTTACCAAGGAAAACTTAGCTAACACAATTGATGTTTTTATTCACTAAATTTAGGAAGAGCAAAATATTTACTGGATTTTAAGTTTATGAAATGTAGTCAATTGGCATTTACTGAACATGTACAAGTTATTAGGTACTGTTCTACACACTGGGCATGACAAAAGAGCTGTTCTTAGTGAGCAGAAAGTCTGGTGGAAATTTCTATTCCCTCCTAACTACCAAAAGAACAAGAAAGACGATCTACAAGAATAGTTTTTTTGTTTGTTTTTAAGAGAGAGATTTTTGCCATAGGGCATGTGCACTTACCAGAGAGAAAGAGATAGAGAGGCAGAAAGAGAGAAATTACCCGCTCCAGCGGGGAATATCCACACTGCAATCTCTTCTCTATTGTCTTCTTGGAATTTTGGGCACTCACATACACGCTCCTGGTGTGAGGCTGAAGTCACTGGGTCCAGAACTCAAACCAAGGTCAACTACATGGGAGTACAGTAATAACCATTTTGTCATTTGCTGGTCCCAAGAATATTTGATCTTTAAGGCTGAAAGACTATTCAAATCCAAGCAAGATGTTTTGCCTACTATGTGCACAGACACACACAAACACATACACATATGCACAATTACATTTAAAGACAGACATTTCTTGAATATTGTTTGCTTAGAGACTTTGTCAGATTTCTCTGAGGTTATTGACTCATTGAGGTAAAAATATAATAAAATGATTTCTTCGAGGTTGGTTTTCTCTCCTTTTCATAGATTTATGAAACCAATATGTCTAGTAATTCCAGACATCTTTGGGACAAATCTAAATTTAACGTTAAGTCTTACTAGATAAGTCTAGGAATTGTATTTTTCTCCTTCTTCCCAGGACATGCGTTAGTGTATTGAATGTTTCTGTGACTGCTGAAGTAAATGAATCTCAAGGGATGAGATTGTGTTTTATTATACAGGAAATACATCTTTTCTAATATATGTTTATCGACCAGAATAAATGTTAAAATCCAGAAGCAAAAACTGTACTTAATGGATTCAACTGGATTTATTCTTAGATGTGTAAACTATAACAAGAGTGAGCTTAAGCTGGTGACAGTATCTACATTTGAATATGTGAGCACTTTTCCTGGATGTGGGGGTCTGACCTTTGGGGAATGAGTGGGCCAATCAGAACTGGCCTGCAAAGCCGTTATCAATTTAGGAACACGACTCGGTACTTTTGGGACTCTTAGCTCTGACGTGAACTCACATGGGCACCTTAATTTGATACTGTTCTCTGGATTACTGCGTAGTGTACGAATGGTAACTAGTGTTGTCTAGCCATGAACAAGTAGCAGTAACTGCCCTGAACCTGCTTCCTTAGTAGATACTTCACCAGGTTATTGTGGAGCTCCGAAGAGCTTCATGAAAACACTTGACTGACAGTGTTTGGTTTGTTATTCTGCTGCTCAGAAGTAACTTGACATTTGTATTTACCTTCAGTGGTATTTTCAAATATATTGACATGGTTTTAAAGTGATTCTTACAATAAAATGTACCTTCCCATGAAAGTTTCTAGCAATATGTGAGAGCACAAAACATTTAACGTACACATGTGTACATATATATATCATGAAAGAGTTACCTATTGACATAAAAGGTTTATGGTTGTTTCCTCCACGAATAGGTAACCCATCTTTTCCTTCTTCTGTAAAAACATAATTTTAAAGACAATATGCTTAGTCATCCTATTTAAGTTTCAACTCTTAAGCCATTTAAAGCTTTCTTTTACATCAATACCAATCATTTATATGGTCAAAAAATAGCCATTCTTAGGGGCAACACAGAGACCTAAAAGGATGGTTGTCATTTTCTACTTGCTCACAATAAATCTTTTCTCCATTTTGATTGACCAGTGACTCTTTATAAGGCTGATTGTTCTTTTTTTTTTTTTTTTGGAGAGATTTTTTGCTATAGAGCGCGTGTGCTCGTCAGACAGACAGAGAGAGATAAAGAGACAGAAAGCGAGAAATCACCCCCCAGAGGGGATGGCCACGCCGCAATCCCTTCTCCTCCATTCTCCTCTTGGGATCCTGGGCACGCACGCACACGTTCCCGGCGTGAGTTTAAGCCACCAAGTCTGGGACTCAAACTATGGTCGACTACTTGGGAGTCCAGCGACATAGCCATTATGTTAACTGCTGGTCCCAAGGCTGATTGTTCTTTAAAAATAAAACAACTGTGCTTATCCTTTTTTTAGAAGTTTTTGCCTTAGGTCATGTGTACTCACTGGAGAGAAAGAGAGACAAAGACCAGTGGAAGGGAAAGTTTTTTTAAAGAGAGAAATCACTCCTGAAGGGATGGCCATGCCACAATTCCTTCTTCTCCACTCTCCTCCTGGGCTCTTGAGCACTCATGCACACAGCATGAGTTTCAAGCCACCAGGCCCAGGACTCAAACTGTAGTCACTCATGTGGGAGTCCAGCGATGTAACTGGTACACCTTCTGCTGGCCCTAACTTACCATGTTTTTAAAAATAAAACAGGACTTTGAATTTTACATAATGTAATAAAATATTTTACATAGAGTGTGATAAAACAAAAAGCTCTAGAAATGTAAAAAATGAAACAAGAAAAAGTAGTCTTTGGGCATTTTAGTGGAGTAGGAAATGCTACAATTCTTGAATTATGGTTAGACTTTTGAGATTATACTGTGTTTTTAGCCTTATAGACACATACCCTACTGAATCTACTCCCATATTCTTCATAGAGTCATCTCAATAGAGAAGTCTATAGAAGAGAAAATAGATCATTAGCAGTGCCCCACACTATCCTTGAATAAAGTGTAAAGGTTCTCTTTCATTGCTCCTCAACTATATGTGTGACTTTTAAACAAAGATTCAATAGGATGTTTATAAAGGTAGAGAGCTAAAAGCAGAAAGAGGTAGACTTGTGAATGTTGATTATTATATTTCCAAATCAACCAGTAAATAAGATAATTTAGAAAACTGTCCTTGAAACCATTAATACATTGTTAGTCATAGTATTTTGTCCCAAGTGCAAAGAGAAGTTTTATACTTATTAATCATAATAATTGAGGTTCAGTCAATAAGTTATTCACTGACCAGAGGATCAATCAGTTCAGAAAATGTTAGAGAACCAGTCATTCTACATTTTTGGTTGGTTTGTGTGTGTGTGTTTTTAATTGAGGAACTTAGTCTATCTGGAAGAACCTTTGGCAAGGCCAAAAACAAGGATCAGTGATGCATTTTTACCAGGCACATGGATGACAGGTTTAGGTGGCCAGGCCAGACCCGAAGTGTCACTGCTTGCCTGATGGCCTGAGTCAGCTCTCTACCATATTTCCATCTCACCTGGTTGCCTCTCATTGTCCTTTGTCTCTCCTTTTCTCTTAGACTTCTCGGGCTTCGCGTTGGGCTGACCCCGACCACTTTGCCCAGCGACAGAGCTGCATGAATACGTTTGCCAGCTGGTTTGGCTACATGCCGCTGATTCACTCTCAGATGAGGCTCGACCCCGTCCTCTTTAAAGACCAGGTCTCTATTCTAAGGAAGAAATACCGAGACATTGAGCGACTTTGAGGAATCTGGCCGAGTGGGGGAGGGGAAGCAAGAAGAGACACAGGGATCAAGCCGCTCTCTCTTCCCAGTGCAGATTCGTGCATCAGCGGAGCCAGATTGTGCCAAGTATCCAAATAAACTTAGATGAACAGAATGACAAACACAGGCCAATGAGAACTCAACTCCTGGCTCCTGGGACTGCACCGGACTGCTCCAAACTCACCTCACTTCTGTGTCCCAAGACTAGGTTGTGTACAGTTTAATTATGGAACATTAAATAATTATTTTTGAAATGATTGCTATGCAGGTTTAAACTTTTTTAATGATCAAAACTATTAAAAACCAGAGTTCTTTCTTTAATCAAAATTGTGTTGGTTGTGAATATTTCCAAGCTGCTACTCCTCTTCCCACAGACATGATTGCCATCATGCAGGGTGTTCTGCCATTACAAAAGCTCAGACTTCATGGAAAACACAATAACCACTCTGCCCAGTGTCAAGGAATAACTGAGCATAAATTAAGACAAGTTCATTCCACTTTGAATGTCCAAATCCACTTTAACTTTTATCTCTAAAATGTTGCTGCATGAGAGAAAGTATTATGACTTCCAGGTAGGCATTCTAACTGAAAACTTTATGTCTGAGATATATAAATATGGTAATCTCTTTTTCACTGGGGGCTGGGGGGTGGGGGGAAGTTAGTACCAAGAACACATTAGTCTAATTAAGAAATGTTCAGTTTGCACAAGGAACTGTCCAAATGACCCACCAGCATGGGTGCCATTTACTCTGCAGGTATCAGTGAGTGAAGGGGTTAGCAAGGGTTAATGAGATGGAAATATTGACCCATAACAGTAACATAATACTTTTCAGGGATGTGGGCTAGATTATAGATTCAACTATTGGCTATGTCTACTTAGAGATGGGGAAAAGTTTTGCTTTAGAGCCCAAGGAAGAGTGAATACATTGGGGAGATGGAATATTGAAAAGTTTTGGAAGCTTCTTTGTTGAGAAAGAAGAAATAATGTATGAATTCACACCATTGAACAAGAGAATTACTGTGAAGTAACTGCGGGTGTTCCTCACCAGTGGAACCCTGGTACCATCTTTAGTCAGACTGTTTTGAGCGAGAATCTGGCAAATAAAATTGTCAGGAACAAATGTGAATAGTGTTTCATTGCATTTTAATGTTTAAATCTGTAGAGAAGTTTAGTTGTACTTCTTGTTGGAAAAGAACATTTCTATTCCTGCAAATACTGTCTTGATCTTATGATTGTGAAACTATAAACACAAACTTAACACAAGTCCTTTAATTCTACTGGGTCATCAGGAAAGTCATGACCCATTTTTGCATTGAAAAACAGAAAAATATGTCATGCCTTTCCTGATGACATATTATAAAAGATGGAGACTTCTGTTATTAAATGGAACAACATTTCTTGGAAGAGGCAAGAAAGAACAGGGAAAAGAAATACATTACTGGGTCCTACCACCAATTCACAAATTATACAGAATAAACAATAAGCACTTTTGTTTTTATTTACTCCCTTAACTCTCATACATTTCATATGTTTATTCCCAGTTTTGTCTTAGAAGAAAGCTCGTCATAGAATTATGTTCCAGTAACTTCAAGTGGGCAGCATAGGTCAATAGAACCGTAAGTCCAATAGACTTTAACTTATCCTTTTTCCGTGATACCTAGGAGAGAAAGATGAACTTAAGGTGATGGCACAGAAAGAATGTTATAAGGAAGAGTGGAAGTAGGTGTTTTCAGAGGTGACTCAATAGGCCACCTACCAGCAGAATAAGGACTAGAGCCCACATATCCTGATGCTGTGTTACAAGTGGTCCAAGGTCACTGAGTCTATTACAGAGGGGCTTTCTCTGTAGCCTCAGGACTCAGAACAGCTCTCTATAGCTCTCTCTTATCAAATATAATCCATCCTTAGCTCACTTTCAAACATGTGACATGTTTTCCCAAGTAGAGGATTATTTCATATGTATTTGTTGAAAAATAATTCTTAGGTCCATGGTGTTTACACTTGTGTCTTTCTATGACATGCCCCATCTAATTGGTTTCATGCCATTTATGCTGCAGGTATCAATGAGTAAAAGAGTTTGCAATGAATCCTTAATCACAGGCTTTACAAGTTTGTATTTAGTGTTTTAAAGATTGACACATTATTTTTGTATCTTTCTCCTTTACGAAAAACAATAAAAATGAATGCAATATTTTGTTAATGACCCCCCCCCAAGCCAATTTGCCATTTATATTGTCATCTTGGCTTGCAAAGCAGTGTCTATGATTGTACAATCAGTCACATGAGTGGATTCAGGGACCTGCATTGCAAAATTTATCTGTCACAAATCTCATGGGGCAACTATTCTCCACAAACAACCTGTGTTATGTGAAAAAGATGGTAATTTTAAGGATGAGATTTGACACACTTTTTATCCATTTTAAGTCTCCATGGTTTCATTTTATGACATTCTCTGAGTAAATCTCTTTAGAATGCTAGCTAGCATGTTCTTTTCTCATTTGGAATTTACAGCTGGGGATTGAACAATGCTTAGCAAATCAGTGAGGCCCAACAGTAAGATGTAATTTTAATTCACTTAGGAAAGAGTTGTATTGCATTGCATCAAGTTGAGAAATCATAGCAGCCCTGTAAGATGTCAGCATTTATCTGTTAGCCAACTTTAATGATAAGCAGGGGTCCCTAATAGGGCCACCGTGCTGAGTTGGTAAGAAGCCAAGGGCAGAGAGTGTAATGCCAGCCACATAATGAATTAAATGCAGAATCTCCATAGAGGACTCAGTCACTTATCATTTCTACACATCTTTTTCTAACTCCACATTAGGACATATGATCCTAAAAATATTTTTAAAGCTATTTATTACTATGGAAAGGCTTATAAATAGCAAAGCTTCTGTATACATTATAAATAAAAAAATAACAAAATGGTTCAAAACTGAGACTAGAGAAAAATCATGAAATAATCACTGTTGTCATATCATGAAAGATAAAATAGCTAGATGGGCCTACCCAGGTTTTTTTTTTTTGCACACTTTCCAGATATGATGCTTCAGAAGAAAGGGAAGTCTCAAACCTGGAATCTCACGTGCATTACAGTTTAATTTCTTCTTATTAAAAATGGTGCTCAAGGAGGATCAATCCTGATTGTTTCCTTCAATTTCTTTTTTGGAATGATTTTTGTTTTTCATTACAGTAGGCTATGTTAGCCTTTATTTTGGTAGTTCTCAGATATTTTGTGACTTAAAGGAATAGTACACCCATGGCCTTTTATAAAGGTTACTGAACTTTAATCAGGGGTGAGATGAATGAATGTGAATAGACCTATATACTGTTCAAGAAGAAACAACAACAAAAATAGGGTGCCTGATTTAAGAACTAATGACATTTTAATCAATCCTTAAAGGGTAGGAGTAGGGGAAGAGACAGAGAACCGCTGCAGGAGAGATTCTGAATGAGACTTTTAGTAGACAGGCTGAATTAGAGACGCAAAAGCTGAAGCAGACTTCCCAGACCTGAAAGCGTCTGGTGTTCCCTCAGGTCTCTGAGAGCTCCAAGAACCAGTTCTAGCCATGAACTCTCACATCAAAATTTCTCTGGCTACTAAAAGTTAAAATAATCAACATGCAGTCAATACATCAGGGCCTCCACTGCTAAATTCATTGGCCAAATTTCCATTTACAGCCACTGTGGACAGACCTTTTTAGGTAGTTTTGTCATTCTTGGCCAGATTGAACCAAGAGAGTTCTTTCACTGCTGGCCTCATTTCCTCATTTCGCTTGATGGGGTCAATGCTGTTTTGAGTTGAGTTCTTAGTGAATACACATTGATATCAGACACTGGTAAACTTGTCTGAATATTGGAACTTCAGTAGTAGAGATTAGCTCAATCCTTGACTTCAAGTCTATTTATGAGGGAGATGGCACACCCTGAAGAAGTTCCTCCTCAGTAGTTACACTCCCATGAGCACTGGATAAAAAACCTGCTATTTGCACCATTATCTCAAAAGCATAGATGACCCCCTGGAAATCATCTCCCTTTTTTTGCCCTTAAAAAAAGAAAAGAAATCCAAGGATTTTGTTTTACTTGAGTCATCACTAATCTAGAGTTATAACATGGTCCATATCAGGAGCATAGAGGAGTTACCCTGAACTGGGCCTTCCCGGGTTCAACAATAAGTGAGGAATGTAACCACCGAGGAAGCTGAGCCCTCAGAATAGCATGGTCTCACCCTTGTTTAAAATCAAGTCCAGCTAGCCTTTCAGTCACTCTATTTTCATAATAATTTGCCTTTTAGGCCTCACAGGTCATCTGATTTCTGCAATAGTTTTTTGTTCTCCCACAGGAATATATCCCTTTCCTTTTGGTTACTAAAATTAGGGCCATGCAAATGACCTGATTATCATGTAATAAACCTTGTATATTTATTTTGAGAGAAAAAATATGTACAGGATATGTTGAGGGGCAGAAAGACATTGATAACTGGAACTATTTTAGGTGGCAAATTGTAAAGCAAAAACAAACAAACAAAAAAGGATACCTTATTTTGTATACGATGTACATTTGAAACAGAGTTTTCTAATTTGTCGCCAATGTTTTTGTAGTGTCACCACAGGTCTTTTCTGAAGTGTTTTCCCCATTTGTTATAGACTATTAATGACTTAGAGCAATTAAACCCTGACATGTGTGTGAGAGAGTATGCGAGAAAACACAAAGCCATAGATTTTGATTTACTTCTCTGACCTGTGTAACTTTATGTCTGGGTTTTGCCATCCAAGATAGATTGTTTTATAGAGAGTGTCACCAAAGACTTTTTCCTTCCAATTTATAGAAGAAAAAAATTATTAATAAATGACATGACTTTTCATCTGTGTGGTTTTCATTCCATCTTTTCTGTTGACAACAGGCTGTTCTCAGGAGAATTCTGTGTACCGGAAACACAAACCTTCCATGGGGGATCTGGGAGACCCAGGCAGATGAGATTGGACCAAATGTTCTGGATGGAGGTCCAACTCTCACAGCCTGGCTGCAGCCCAGTGCCCAGCCGTGGGGAACACAGGCGCCAGCAACAGCCATCCTCAAGGCCAGATGCAGCTGGTGCTGTTGGAAGCAAGCCAGGGTGAATGGTGGTGATATGCCCAGTTCACAGCGTTCCTCCACATGCTCGCTGGGACAAAGTGGCAGGGCTGGGCCCCAGAGCATCTGGAGCCTGACAGCTGTGGCCATTACCCCCTTGGTTTCATCTACTGCACAGGGCCCGTGAATTATTGGCTGGTGCGACATTTATTAAACTGGCGCTTCCCAAAAGAATTTATAAATGTCTCCAGGTGTG